ACTCTCCTTGAAAGCAATACGAGCAGCTTCTCTCCATTCGCGAGCAAGGTGCGAGAATACTCCAACATCACATGGCTGGAGCTTGTGAGTCGTATGAGGTGGTAGGCATATGACAATAATGTCATTCTGCAGGGCATAGAGAACAAAGCTGAGACTGCAATGGGAGATATGTCCATCTAGAATGAGTAGCCTGTATTTGCCCATTTTCTTGGCCTTGGTTGCGGGATCGAAGGTCTTCTCTAACCAACCCTGGGCAATCTCGCAATCTGTCCAACCATTTGGAGATGAAGCGATGCTATTTAATACTAAGTGAGTATTTATTTCTCAGCTGTGAGGTTACTTACTCTGCATTGCAGCAATTCTTCCTTACCCATTCCCCATCGACATCAATGCCCTCATGAATCAATAATGGTCGAATGCTGTCACCTCTAGCACCAATGCATTCAAGCACTGTGACCATTTTTCGGTTCTCATCACCAGTGCAGAAGGCTTGCTTCTGGTTTGCATCCACCACTGCTCGGAACCGGATGTCACCACCCCCCATGAAGATGCCCTTCTCATCAGCATTGTAGATATCAGATGGGTGAATATCATATTTCTCAATCTGCTCTTGAAGTAGATCGAAATAATCTGATGTAGTCACTCTCTTCATGGCTTGTGCACGCTTGCCCTCTCCCTTTCTTGCCCATCCCATACGAAGATTCTGGCCTCTTCTTAGGAATCTGTAGAACCACCCTTCAGCTGGTAGATCACAATTTCCAATTCTTGCAGCCAATTCTCGAGCTTCGAGTGAAGTCACTGGGTCACCTCTCCACCCACGATACTGAATATAGTAAGTCAGTGCCTCTTCTTGTGGTGGAGAGAGAATCTGGTTCGTTTCGTTAGCTTCATGGCGCGATTTTGCTCCATTTAAGCGGTCATAAAGTGTTCCTTTGGGGATGTTGTGAAATTTCCAGGCTGCTGCAAAGCTTCGTACTCCAGTTTGCACATCTTTGATGGCATTCTGTAAATTTTCTGCTGTATACATTTGTGGCTTCTTCTTTCTTTGAATGCTGCGTGGAGGTTGCCGCGACTTTTGGGTACTCGCGCGGGGTTTCTTCCTGTTCTTGGTGATACACATCGTAGATGGTATTAAATTGGATGAAAAATAAGAAAAACGCGTAAAAGACGCGTCGGTTATTAAACACCAATGCTAGATTAGGGTGGACAAGTCGAAGAGTCATCACAGGTTGGTCTGTGATAGGTATGTTGGTAAGTGCAATAACAGATGACGCACCAAATAGACATATAATCACCTCTCAATCATTTTAGTAATTATTACTGAATTTTAATTCCTGTCAAATTGTTGGTATTGTGAGGAAAAGGCGTCGTTCGGTTAGGCCGTAGGTCCACCCGTTCAACCATTTGTTCATTGTATACGCTCACGGCACTCTAAACCTCTTCAAATCTTATAATCTACATCTCATCATAGATTTAAATAGCATACATATTTCATTTAAATTAATCTTAATGAGGGCGAGGTACAAATGGTGGACAGCGCAAAATCGTTCGGTTAGACCGTTGACCTCTGTAGTACCGCGGTTCGACTGTGCCACGATGACCCGGCATTCAAAGAACAACACAGCAAACTCTGTATTTTCAAAGGCTGAATACGATAAACTCAAGGCACATTATGGGACACAGAGAGCCCTCCTGGGCTCCAAGTCTCATCGGGCATTCAACGCGTGTTCACTATGTCTTTCCAAGGCCGTCAACCCGGTCTCCTGTTCCAAAGGACACCTCTTTTGTAAGGAATGTGTGATGAAAGACCTTCTCTCGCAACGGGATGGACTTGCACGAAAGAAGCAGGAGATAGAAGCCATCAGGAAAGAGGAAGAAGCAGCAAGAGAGGAAGTAAGACTCAAAGCTCGAGAAAGAGTACTTTCAGGGAATACAGCTTCACTGTTTGGGAAACGCAAGGAACGTGACGATGCCAAGGAGGCAAACGGTAATTGTGGAAGGCTGTAAATGTCGTATAACGAGCTAACACATGTTCGTAAGGTGAAGGAGAGCCAGCTAGCAAGAGAAGAAAGTTCGAGTTTGACAAGGAGGCGGCTGAGAAACTCGCCCGAGAGGCTGAAGAGGAAGCCATCCGACAACTAGAGCTAGA